CCCCAAAACCCCAAAACCCCAAAACCCCAAAACCCCATCCAGAAACTTATTATTGAAATTTAGATTTCCCTCAATCACTAGTGTATATGAGTCTTTCACTTCTGTCATAAATGTCCTTCACGGTCTTTTTGAGGGAATTTAGTTGGGAAGAATGAGGGATTGGATCAGTAGACCCTTTGATAAATCTGTAGTTAAAAAGTCGCCTTTGTTCTCTTTTGGTCAACCTGCCCAGTTTTGAACTTGAGCTATCTTCTCTTTTATGAACTTTAGTGTCCATTGTCTGAGAAGTATTATCTGAGATCCCTAATGACTTGAGCTTGAAGTACCTGCTTCTCTTCTTTGAGACAATTCTAGCACTGTTTTCAAGTAATTTATGATAATTAGGTTGGAGTTTATCATTATTTTTATCTCCAGAGAAGAAGTTTAAAGTTTTATTCTGCTGGTCAATATCCTCTCTATAGAATAATGTCAAACCAATTTACGCTTTATTTTCAGCCTCTTCACTAGGAAAGATTGTTAGGTCAGCTATCCTGCGCTTGCTGTGTCTGGCACTCTGTAAATTTCTATGTTTATTTCAGTACATTCTCTCTATTTATCACCTTCTTAGGTGCTTTTCTTCCGGAGGAAGGAATTAATCCTCACTGGTTTCTTTCCAAAGTGCATTCTATAATTATTGATCAACCTTCATCAAATCTAGGAGAAAAATGTTAACTAAATTATCTTCATATTATCTGCATAAATTAAGAGTTAGTCCCATTAAAACCAAGCTGCAGTGGTAGAAAAATCTGATGAATTTCAGAAGATTGGCTTGAAAATAAGTTCAAATTGCACATTCAGTAGGTACAAAATTATTCCAATTTTATGAATGCTCCAGGAAAACTAATTATGTGATGCACTTTTGAGCAGGGAAGAATTTTTCAATAGAGAAAATGCAAAGTTCAGCAAGCCCCTTTTCATTGACAATATTAGTAATAGTGCATACTTTGGCTGTCGATTATCAATAGCTTTCAATCTCTTGGCAAGTAATATGTTGGTCCGGTATGCTTCTTCAAAGTATTCATCTTCATTTATGACTCGTCCAAGAAGCTTGAAATGACCTCCTGATTTAAAAATACGTTTTTTAGATTTTGATCGAGATTTGAAGATGGATTTTGATAGAAATTTATTCTTCCCACTCTTATTTAGTTACAATTTGACTTTTCTTATTCAGTCTGATCTTAATGGGGTTAATCCTAAAATCAAATGAATCTATAGCAATTTCTCTATTTGGACCTTTTGAGTCTTCTTCGACAACTCACTTAGTATTTTTAGTTGAAGGTCCTTGTTCAGAAGCACTCATTCTTGTCAATGTTATAAATCTTTATTATTCAATAATTCATAATTCCATTGGGGTTTTGGGGTTTTGGGGTTTTGGGGTTTTGGGGTTTTGGGG